TTCTAGAGCCGGATAGCCACAACTACTGAGCCTGTGTCCCACAACTACTGAAGCCCGCGTGCCTGGAGCCCATGCTCCACAACAAGAGAAGCCACCTCGATGAGAAGCCAGTGCACTGCAACGAAGAGTACCCCCGCTCGCCGCAACTAGAGAAAGCCCACACGCAGCAACAAAGACCCAACGCAGCCAAAAATAAATAAATAAATAAAAATATTTTTTAAAAAAAGAAAAGAAATAAAGTCCCTCATGCAACTCTATGTTCAAGTTAAAACCAATAAGACGGTTTTCTGTTGGAAAATTCAATTGTACCATATGGTAACTAAGAGTCTCCATTTGTAAAAGAAAAAAAAAAAGCTTCCCCAGATAGAAAAACCTTGAATCAAATTCCAACACTTAAGTTGAAATGATGACTTTCTCTATTTCCTGAAACTGTTGTAGTACACAAGAGCAATTAAGCCGTTGGTTGGATTCAGAGCATACTGATATAAATGATAAACATAAGGACACTCAAGTTCCTCCTCTCAGTTAACTTTGAAAAGGAAAACCTCACAACTAGGTACAAGGAATTGAGGAAAGCGTTAAAAATGTGATATTTCTCCTCACTTAAAAAAAACTATCAAAAATAATATATTTTAAATTATAAATCTAAAGGAAATGACTATATATATCATATTTACCTCATTTCAGATGATGGGAAATTGTAATACAAATTTCCAAACCTTTAGGTAATACAGAAGTTTCTGTGATGATAGAAATATTCCATATCTGAGCTGTTCAAAACAGGGGCTACTAGCCACAAGTGGCTACTGAGCACTTAAAATTTGGCTAGTGGGGGGAGGGAAGGACTGGGAATTTGGGATTAGCAGATTCAAACTATTATATATAGGATGGATAAGCAACAAGGTCATACTGTTTAGCACAGGGAACTATATTCAATATCCTGTGATAAACAATAATGGAAAAGAATATGAAAAAGAATATATGTATAACTGAGTCATTTTGCTATAGAGCAGAAATTAAACACAACATTGTAAATCAACTATACTTCAACAAAAAATTTTTTTTTAATTTGGCTAGTGGGAATAAGGAACTGAATTTTAAGTGATAACTAATTAAATTAGTTTAAATTTAACCACATGTGCAGCTCTAAGGAACTGGAGGGAAATATTTATACCTTAAATTCTGATTCAAATAGTAAAAATCCTGTAGATGGGCATATACATAGTTGCTTCTGAAACATATTTATTTTTTTTTAATTCCTGTGATTTATGTAGAGGAAAATACCAAAACACAACATAAAAATGTTGCTGCATTTGTGGGAATCAAATTTTCTATATTTACCTTCTAGAGAGGACTAGAATACTGGTTTGTAAGTTGGCTCCATGTTGTAATTTCTTAGGGCACTTCCAAAAATAAGGATGTGTGGGTCTTACTCCCAAAGATTCTAGTTTAATTGGTCTGAATTGAGTCCTGGGCATAAAGATTTTTAAAACCTACCCAGGTGACTCTAACATGCAGCCAGAGTGTCACTAAACTAGAAAGAAAATAAGAAACTGTTAAGTATAGATGCAGTGTGCAACCAAAGACATTTCTTTGCTGGTAGGCAAAGAGGGCCTTCCAACAACACAGATTCAAGTCAAAACCCCTGAGGGCTCTGGTGTGTTACATGTTCAGGAATGATTTGGGTGTACAATCATAAGTTTTTGCTATTATTGAATGTTATTCAATTATGTAAACGAGATTAGAAAGGAAGGAAATAAACTAAATACTGAGTGTCAATTTGCACTTGCCACTTTTGCATATATTATTTAATTTCATCCCCAACATACCTTGGGAAGTAGATATTATTAAATTATTTAGAGATGTGGAAAGTAAATTTAAAGATGTTCTCTAGGATTTGGACACATGTTTCTCTGACAGTAAAGTCCACATTCTATATACTACAGCAGAATTCTCTCTGAGGAAGTTTGTTTCAATAAATTTTCATACTGGAATCAAAGAAAAATAAAGAAAAAGCAGGATTCAGTGGTGGAGCACAGGATAAGGCAAACACACTTAAACAGGTGCTTAAACCAGTTCCTGTATTTCCTAAGCACCTGATAGCAAACCCGGGGAAAAACATGTTCATCTGTGGTTCAAATCTACAGCAGCCTCAACACTAGACCATTTAGAAGTTGCTGCCTTTCTATCCTAAGAAGTTAAGTAATTGGTCTCCTACTGCCTCACAATCTATTAGCTATAGTCATACATTCTTCATACAGGATAGAACAGTATGCTTATTCACAGTGACTGACACTAAACAAGAATAAGACAGGGGTCTTAAAGATATTTTCATTTTGCCCCCTAGACTCACAGGATTACTGGGATTACTCCTCGTGGAGTAGTTTACAGACCACAGTTTTGATGTGACATGCTTACAGTGACTATGTAACTTTAACTTAGATCATTGATGTTCTATATTAATTACTCATTAAAAGCTTTTTAAATCCAGTTCCTGGGTTGTTCAACCTATCTTAATTTTCAAATTAAGAAAAGTTGTCAGTGGAAAAAATTGGAAATCCAGAGCAACAGACCCTCACCCTTCCCATCAGCACTAATCCTTCTATTCTGAGACCCAATATCCTTTCTCCTTTTTCAGGCTCCAGCACTGTAAAGGGACATTAACTCAAATGAGTCACACTTGGTTACATCAGAGGCCTGAGAGGAGAAAACCTTCAATTCTCTATTCTAATTAATGGCACAGACTTCTCCCAAAGCATATTCCAAAATAAGAAAATGTTGACAGGAGTAACTCCTAAAATGCACAGGCTTGGAGTATGGCAGTGTTTCCTTTCTATTTCAATTGGTATTAATTACAATTTAATTATACCACAAAAAATATTTTGTAGTTTATTTAATAATGTCAAACTCTTGTCAAAAAAAGAGAGAGACCATTGTAAAGCAATTATACTCCAATAAAGATGTTAAAAAAAAAAGAGGAAGAAGCTGCAGCAGCTTATTCTCAGTAGTCCCTTTCTCTAGCTCATTTGGAATGGGCAATAAGATGAGCTGGAAAAATACATACTCAATTGATATAGGGGAAGTTACAATGCCCCTCATCCAATCCCTGACCTATTAAAAGCAGAATAAAGCAAGGATTTGACCTGTTTTTCTTAATTAAAAAATACATAAATTCCATTCATTTCAAGATTGATACCTATCATCTACCAAAAACAATTAGCCAATTCTCACATTCACTTCCTGCATTTGAGGCATGCCTCCAGAAAAACATAATGTAAGTTTTACAACTTTTGACCCCACCATAGTATCAAAATCCATCTTTGCAATTGACACTGGTTTTAATGGTTTGTGTATGTGTGTTTATTGTGACATGAAAATCTATTTATAAATATTTTCAGATGCTGGTAATCACCCTCCAAAAAACAGCAGGCTTTACATGCAAGTAAAAGTTTTGGTGGGACAAATGTAAATTCAAACCTACATAATAGATTTTTTTTAAAAGTTCTTGTATCAACTATACTCCAATAAAAATTAAATAAATAAAAAATTTTTTAAAGTTCATGTAAAAGTGAAACACACTTCAAATTAGTTCCTTTTCTTAATAACTAACCCTAGATATTTTTTCTATTTTTAATTCCACCTTCCATCCTACCATCTCCCCAACACATACTTCCACAAGGCCTCTAGAACATCAAAGTTAGAATACAAAGTTATTATGAAAAAACTATAATAAACTTAAGATTGGACAATAAAGCAGTCAATTCGCCTCTGTACGAATTTACTGAATCAATACATGCATGAACTTAATAAATAATGCTAATGATATTAACATAAGAAATAATTTGTATCATAGCACCAACACAAACAGCCAATGAACAGGAAGCAAGTTTTCACGTTGACCCTCCCAACCCAGTCAACAAGAATTTGGGAAAATACCAACGCTTGTTTCATAATACAACGACTTCCATTTTTTCCCCATCCTTTAGTAAACTCTGTAGATCTAAATTTTAAAATCCGTCTAATTAGTTACCTGCATTCTTCAACCCACAGATCAGGTGTCCTACATTTCATTTAGGTCCCCGCCTTGAAAACAAACCCGATTGCCCCATTTTCTGAGAGGTAAACTCAGCTCCAGGCAGCTCCCCATGAAGTCACCGCGTTTGTTATTTCAAAGATGCAATTAAACGAAAATGACACAAGGCTGTCCAAGAGATTAGTTGGAAGTGTATGGAGGTGTCTATCATATATGTGTAAGGCCATTGAAAACTGTATTGCTGTTAACCTATTTTAGTGGTAATATTTCTCCCCATTCCCCCTTCTCCAGTGTATTCATAACAGAGGGAAATTAAACTTTGTAAAAACTTTCTTGCTTCTACCAAACTTTAGCTTTCCAGCTTTCGGTACTACAGTATCTTGTAATGAGTAAAGGAGAGAGGGAGAGGGGTGGTTAGCTCCACTCAGAGAAAAGCAATAAAAGAGCTTGCATCAGGCAGTGTCTCTCCCTCTGCCCCCTCTTCCCTACCACCCAACCCCCTCTTCTCCGAGCCCTTACATATACACATTCTTCTCGGCGGCCTCTAACCACACCATGTCCACAATCATTTACAGAAATTAGAAACAGACTCTGGGAGCCCTTTCCCTTAGCACGCACAGAGCAGAGATGTAGTAGCAAGATGGGGCAATGTCACTCTCTATTACCCCACAATCTCTTACCCCCTCTGGGGTTTAATTCCCGAGAATCCGACTTTCCTCCGCGGAGAAGGTGAATCTACCTAATTCACAATAAAACATCATCTCATCCCTCCCCACCCCAGTAACCCCACCCCCACCTAACACACCAAAACACTCCAACCAAAAAAAGTTCCTTCCACCAGGGCAACAGGGTGGATTTTAGGGGTTCGGGCAAAAGCAGAGAGAGGAGGAAGAGAGCGAGCGCGGTGCACTTTGTTGGGCACTTTCCGCACACGCAGTCCAGAGCCCAAGGCAGCTCTCGTCCTTACCCGCTTTTCCGGAGACCCGGTCCTACTACTGGAGCGCGGGACGAGGGCTGCGGGGACGCGGCGTCGGGGTGGGCAGCCGGCAGCCCCCGCGGGCGCCCAGAGCCTCCACCTCTTCTTCCCCAAGCGGCTGCGAGCGTGGGCCGAAGGAGCTGGAGAAGGAGCCTGGGGAGGGGGAAAAGAGGAGCAGCATCTCCTCCTCCTCCACGCCTCCGAAACGCCCCTCCAGCCGCGACCCCGGCCGACCGCCTGACCTTCGAGCGCTCGCGCACCCTTCCCGGCCCTCTGCTGCCCCGTACGCCTCCAAGGGCTTCGCCAAACCCTGTGGTGCGGAACGGCTCAACTCCTGCAGCCGGCTCCGAGCGCTGCCGAGGCGGCAGAGGCGGACCGGGAAGCCAGGGAGTGCTGCTCGCCAGCAAGACGGTCTCTAGGGGATGTAATCATGATGTGTCACCCTCGCCGCGCCGCGACTGCCGGAGCTACTCGCTCCACTCGGGCTACATCTCACGCGCCCGCACCGGCTCCGCCCAGTTCATGTCAATCAACCCTCCCCGGATTCCCGGAGCACAGCGGATCTCCGACCCCGCCGTCCCCTCGGCCTCATTGGCCCGACGGCCCTCCAGCCCCGCCCCCTCCCTAGGGACAAGGTCGCCGGGGAGACAGGCGCCCAGGTTCCCATGACAACCGGAGCCTTGGGCCTGGCTTTTCGCGTTCTTCTGGCTTGCCAGACGCTCAGGTTGATGGCCTGGCAGCGAAGTTCTTAGCCCCTGCGGGGTGGGCTCCTAATTTCTGGCCAAGTTGAAAATGCAGCCGACCGCCCCCACACTTCCAACTTCAGAAACAGAACTTTGTGGCCCAGCAGAGTGCGAGGGAGAGTGAAAAATGCCCTGCTCTTCCTCTGTCAATCGAAATAACCCCTCCCCCCTTGCCCTCCCTTGCCTCCAGCCTTGTTTCCATATTCCCACCGGGCGGATTTGGGCTTTGAAAGGGTGAGGAGAAGAAGAATGAGAGAAAGAGCAGGGCTGTGCCAGCTCCCTGCAGCAATATAGCGACTTGGAAATGGCGGGGTCAATGAAAACATCTCGGTGAGTATTCCCACAGTTGTAAAATGATCTTCAAAGGTATGGTGGCAACACTTGGTAAACCCCAAATGCCCTCAGGAAAACTCACATTCTCATATTTGTAAAAAAAAAAAAAAAAGTATAAATTCTTGTAATTTTCCTTCTGAAGCTCAGATAATCCTAAATTTAAAAAAAATAAGTAAAATGTTTGACAAAATGTAATAAAATAAAGGCATCCATTTTTCTATAGGACTACACATTACAACTTGGCAGAAGTATGTCCTAGCAGCTATGACCCTCCTGCAAGCTAAAAGATTTGGGTTACAACAATTTACAAGGAAGTCTTACTGAGTTAATTTAGTCTTGGACCCCTAATGTTGAGCCCTAGGTGAAACTTAACTTCATGGCTGGTTCCAAAATGGAGAGATCTGAAGCAAAGTTAGAGCTGCAACCCTAGCCCCTGAGGCTGCTGTACACGTATGATGAATGAGGGGATTAATAGTAATGGTTTACCTTTGGCGAGCCTTGAGTTTTCATTATCTCATTTACTAAATGAATATCTGTGATGGATGTGTTCAGTCAAATATGCCTTGCAAATGTGCACTGAATGTGATTACTCACAGCGCTAAACAATAGAAAATGCACAGCAGAATTTTAAGATAAGGGTTCTGCCCTCAAGGAGATAATCACAGAGCCTAAGAAAGAAAACTAGCATTCTTGAAACAATTTGAGATTATAGTTAGAATGTGCAGCCAAAGACTGAGTGCAGTAGTCAATGAGAGAAAGTCTGTGTTATGTAGAAAGGGCTGGATTAGTCAGATTAAGGAGGAAAGGAATTTAAACTGGGCTTTGAAGGGTAGGGAGTGGGATGAAAGAAGCAAAGATGAAGAAAGACATTTGAAGGAAACAAAGTAAAACCAAAGTGCAACAGCAGGAATAGAGTGGTGAAAGTAAATAACAGTGAGAAGATCAGCCAAGTTGAACTAGAGACAGAAATGAAGGATTGGAGCCCTTTTCCCAGGCTTTCCCCCATTTTCTGAAGTAGTTTTTAAATGTTCTGGTTGAAGTATCAGAGTGGTAAGGTAGAGAGGGAGAGGTAGTTTCGTGAGAATAAAAACCTTCATGGAACATCAGCCGCTGTTTGCCACTGAGAGAAAGTTCATGTATGTATTAGAAAGAAAAGCAACATCCATAATACTTGGAATAACTTGTGAATTCATGTCAGAAAGAAAGTATAAAGAGTATAGTGTTGGAAATTTTCACAAAAGTAGACAAACCACAGTGTTATGAGCAGTTTTCCTTTTTTTTTTTTTTTTGCATTAAGACCATTTCAGGTGATTGCCCTCAAGGCTCTTTCACCAGTAATCCTTCTGTTTTGTATGAGCTGAAAGGCTGGTTTTAAAATAAATGGCTGTGATACCAAAATCTGATAAAGTGTACACAAAAGAGAAATCTATAGGTTAATCTCCTTTTGGATATAATATAAAATTAAAATACAATATTAACAATAGAAACTAGAACTACATTACAAATGACATGCCAAAGTTAAGAGGAATTATGCCAGGTATATAAGAATAATTCAATAATAGAAAACTTATTCATATAGTTGACTATATTAATAAGTCAAAGGAGAAAAGCTGTATGTGTCTTAATTGATATTGAAAAGGATTTTGTAAAATCCAGCATCATTCCTTAATAAAAATTTTTAAAGAATATATTTTTATATCAAAGCCAGAAACTTGCTGAATAATGAAACACTGTACTTATTCCTGCTGAAGTCAGGAACAAGGCCAAGAATGCCCACCATCACACCATGTAAGGCAATGACAGCCCATGAAATTAGATATGGAATAGAAACAAGAAATTAAATACTGAAAATGTTAGGATTGTCATCTGTTTGCAAATTATATGAAAACTCCAGGGATCAATAGAAAACCTTTTAGAAGCAATAAAAGATGAGTTAGAGTAACATTTTACATTTTGGTAGACAAAACCAAGAAGTGGTACAAGTTACAGTCATCCTAATACAGATAGAAAGTTTGATAGTGTGCTCTGTTTCTTCACACCCTCACCAACACAGTATCATCAAACTTTTTGATCTTTGCCAGTCTAATAGATACAAAATGCTACCACATTACAGCTATAATTTCCATTCTCTTATGAGCATCTTTTTATATGCTTACAAGCCATTCTATTTTCTGTTATCAAAAATATTATCCCATGTTTTCTTCTAGAACTTTTATATATAGCCTTCACAGTTTATTCTTTGATCCATATGGAATTTATTTTGGTGGCAGCAGCAGCTATCCATTTGTCCCCCAAAACCTTAAAAGAATTTGGAAATTTTACTACATAACATGTAAAGCTTCTATAGAGTAATAAAATGACAATGAATAAGGAATTTACAAAAGAAGAAATTCAGAAAAGCAATGAATATTTAAAAATAAAACAACTGTATAAATAAAAATTAAAACAAAATGAGATATTTATAACTATCAAATTAGAAAAATACTATCAAATTAGAAAAATACTTTTAAAGACATATCTGATATTGGTGAAAATATGTGAAATAGATATTGTCTCATCATTGTTGGTAGGATTATAAGTTGACTTATTCCATTTGGGAGTGCAACTGCAGTGTCTTTCATAATTTATAATGTTTATATCCTTTAACTTACTCCATTTTGGAAATTTATCCTATAGAAATATTTATACACATGACCAGAGATATAATCAAGAATATTCTTTGCAGTATTGTTGATAGTCATAAAATTAAAAACAGCTGGAGAGGGTGTGGAGCAAAGGGAACCCTCTTGCACTGTTGGTGAGAATGTAAATTGATACAACCACAATGGAGAACAGTATGGAGGTTTCTTAAAAAACTAAAAATAGAACTACCATATGACCCAGTAATCCCACTACTGGGCATATACCCTGAGAAAACCATAATTCAAAAAGACACATGCACCCCAGTGTTCATTGCAGCACTATTTACAATAGCCAAGACATGGAAGCATGCCTATCAACAGAAGAATGGATAAAGAAGATGTGGTACATATATATAATGGAATATTACTCAGCCATAAAAAGGAGTGAAATTGGGTCATTTGTAGAGACGTGGATGGACCTAGAGACTATCATACAGAGTGAAGTAAGTCCGAAAGAGTAAAACAAATATTGTATATTAACACATATATGTGGAATCTAGAAAAATGGTACAGATGAACCAGTTGGCAAGGCAGAAATATAGACACAGATGTAAAGAACAAACGTATGGACACTAAGTGGAGAGAGTGGGTGGGGGGTGGTGGTGGGATGAATTGGGAGATTGGGATTGACGTGTATGCACTAATATGTATAAAATAGATTCATAAGAACCTGCTGTATAAAAAATAAATAAAACTAAAAACAAAGTAAATGTCCATAATGGTGGATTGCTTAAATTAACTATGGTCACCCACATATACTACCTATTGACAAAATCAAGTGGCTGTACAGCATGATCTGATTTCTCTTCAAAAGTACTTATATCTATGTATATGGCAAAAGTACTTATATCTATGTATATCTATATCTATGTATATGTATATCTATGTATATGGCATATATGTATATACATACATATATCTATGTATGTATATATATACATATATATGTATATATACATATATATCTATGTATATGTGTATATCTATGTATATGTATATGGCAAGTACTTATATCTATGTATATGTATATATGTATACTATTAACAGTGGTTTCTATGAGGATTTTTATTTAAAATCTTCACAAAAAGCATGTTTACTTTTGTTTTTGTTTTTTTTTAATTCACACTCCATTACTTTTATTTATTTATTTGTTTCTTTGTTTATTTATTTAGGGCTGTGTTGGGTCTTCGTTGCTGCACACGGGCTTTCTCTAGTTGCGGCGAGCGGGAGCTACTCTTCATTGTGATGTGCAGCCTTCTCACTGCGGTGGCTTCTCTTGTTGTGGAGCACGGGCTCTAGTTGTGTGGGCTTCAGTAGTTGTGGCACGCGGGCTCAGTAGTTGTGGCTTGTAGGCTCTAGACCGCAGGCTCAGTAGTTGTGGTGCACGGGCTTAGTTGCTCCACAGCATTTGGGATCTTCCCAGACCAGGGCTCGAACCCGTGTCCACTGCATTGGCAGGTGGATTCTTAACCACTGTGCTACCAGGGAAGTCCCATGTTTACTTTTCTATAAAAAGCCAAGGGGGTTAAAAGGCAAACTGCCAGCTGGAAAATAAATTAGTCATGGGGATGTAGCATACAGCAAAGGGACTATAGTTAGTAATACTCTATTGTACATTTGAAAGTTGCTAAGAGAGTAGATCTTAAAAGTTTTCATCATGAGAAAAAAATTTTTGTAAATTAATTAAATTTAAATTAAATTAAAAATTCAG